ATTTCCTTTGTTAGGTTAATTCCAAAGTACTTACTTTTCCTCTGTGCTATTATGAAAGGTATTGTTTCCCTAACTTCTTTCCAGGTGAGTTCCTTACTGGTGTACAGGAATGCTATTGATTTTTGTGTGTTGACTTTGTACCCTGCTACAGTGCAGAATCTGGTTATTACTTCTAGAAGCCTTTTGTTGGAATTGTCGGGTCATCTATGTAGAGGATGATGTCACCTGTAAATAATGATAATTTGACTTCTTCCTTTTCTTTTATTTTGGCGGAATCGGGGATTGAACTCAGACTCTTGTGCTTGCCAGGGAAGCACTTATTCTACTGAGCCATCTCCCCGGGCCCTTGACTTCTTCCTTTTCTGTAAATATCCTTTTTTTATTTCTTTCTCTTGCCTGATCCATCTTGTTAATATTTGGAGAACTATATTAAACAGTAGCAATGACAGTGGACATCTTGTCTTATTTCTAAGTTTAGAGGAAAAGTTTTTAGCTTCCCTCCATTTAATATTGTGATTGTTGGTTATTGGTTTGTCATAAATTATCCGATCATTCTTGCCACTATTTGAAGCAGTTCTACAAGTCCTTTACAAGTGTCTCTGCAAAAATGGGTGAATGTTTCTGCCAGCTACCATCCAGTGGAAGGGCAGCCTTTTAAAACAGTTACAATGTCTTGAGTAAGTGTCTGCTTAGGCACGTTCAGGGACTGGGGCTCTGTTCCTGACACCCACATGCTGCGCTGGCCCTGCCCCTGGGCATGCTGAGCCAGTGACTGAGTGGTGCACGCCTGTAATCCCAGCACTGGGGATGCTGAAGATAGGAGGCTTACTATGAGTCGGAGCTGTGTAATGAGATCCTGTACCAAATACATTAATAAAAGAAGATATTTTAAAAAATTACAATATGCCCTTATCCACTTTATTGACCAGATCTGGCACTATGTGATATTTGGTTCTTCCTCCTAAAAAAAATGACCACAGAAAGTAAACATTTTAAATTGCTTCAGGACATTGAGGCAGCCACAACAGTACAACTGAAGACATTCAGGAAAAAGGACTTCTAGAACTTCTCAGAAAGTGGTCTGATGAAGGGGATGAGTGTATTCAAGGCCAGGGAGAGTATTTTAAGGGACTTCATGGCAATGTGTCTTTTCCTGTAATAAATATTTTTTATATTTAAAAATTCACCCTCTATTTTATATCACATGTACATTTTATGCCCACTAATGGTTTCAAATGGGATGGATGAAAAGGTTTAAAGGTAAACTAGAAAGCCGTTGATGTACAATTGGTAAGGTGTTCAACATCAAGACAAAAGCAATAAATGATCCAAAACTTCTATGTTTAGTGCCCTGTAACACTCATGCTCCTATCCCTGGTCCCTGTCCCCTCCCCGACTGGACTTCCTGGTCACACCAGCTCTTCCTCCCCATAGTCCCATTCATCACAGTGTCAGGCACGGTTCAGGCAGCCCTGCAGGAACCTCTCCAGGCTTCCTCCTCAGTGGAGCCCTTCCTAAGTTAGAGCCACTGCACACGGCTGGCCTAGGCATGGATCTGGCGGTCACAAGTATCTAACACTGAAGCCTGGATGTGTTGGAGGTTGATCTACATATGGCATCTAATTCCCATTATTCATAAGAAAAGATTATTCAAAATACATGAAAGACAATGTAAGATAAATCTGTGGTTCTTCCTGAATCCGTGGCTTTGTAGGAATTCCCTACAATGATGGTATGAAATGAAATTTTCTCATAAGCCTACAGGAAAGAGAGAGAGAGAGAGTACCTCCCCTCAGAAGGACTGTCTTGCCTGAATGCCTCATGAGCTACAGAGCAATGCTGCTCATAGTAGAACCTACCCAGTGAGTCCTCCACACTTACATGTGGTTCGATTTAACCTCCTATAGGTCCCCTATCTTCATTGAGAACCCAGTTGAGATTCTTACAGTAACTCTAGGCCTCATCTCTGATACGTTGGGACTGGTACTTAAAATCCTCCCTTCTCCTAGAGTTTAAAATCTTCTCCTCTTTCCTGGCAGAACACCAGCTGGGGACTCTTGCTGCCCAGGGAACCTGGGCATACCTGCTAGAGCAGGCACGGAAAGAATGGGAGCAACAGTACGCAGCTGTGGCCCTGGTGAGCCTCCCTCTTCCCTGCCAAGGGTGGTCTCGCCCCAGATGTGGAGACCCCTGCCTTAGTTACTTTTCTCATTGCTGAGACAAAATCCCTGACATCCAAAATTAAAAGGGGGAAAGGTTTATTTGCTCATTTGTAGAAGTTTCAGTCCATAATCTGCTGGCTCCAAAGCAGAGTGGAACAGCAGACAGGTATTACAGAGAGAATCAGCTCATGGTAGGCAGAAGTAGCAAAACAACAAGGCACAACCACAGCTCTTTCTGTCCCCTATGTCTCATCCAGGCTACCCAGAGCAGGTAGCACTCACATCCTTAATCCTAGCGCCCTTGAGCCTAGCACTGCACCATGAGTCAATCCCAGCATCACGCATTGTAGATACAGCCACCTCTGAAAAAGCTCCACCTATGACCACATGGGCTTTGGGGGGACATCTAGACACAAACCTTAACAGCCCCCAAGTATGGGGAGGCTTTGTCAGTGAACTCATGAGATGGGGCACAAAGGACTTATTACTGGTAGAGTGAGGGGGAGAGTGGCAGGGCAGGAGAAGACGGGAACCAGAGAGGCCTCAAAGCACACTGATGAGTGTAGCTGAACATGGAATTAGAGGCTGTTGGTGACCAGGGTTTGGGGAGAATTTAAGAGTTATGAGTTGCCCCTGGGACTGTATGGAATGACTTGAGCCATGGGATCTCTTCTGGCACTCACTGTCAATACCAATCACAATGGCCTATGATACATTTTTTTTTTTTTTTTCTGGTAGTAGGGATGGAACCCAAGGCTTTGCAAAATCTATACAAGTGTTATGTGGCTGAGCTATGTCCCCAGCACTGTGAATCTCATCTGTGAGTGAGGAAGATGTCCATTCTGCCTGCTCTTGCCACCCCCAACCCACCACAGCTTTATAGTCACGAGGCTCCAGGAATACCCCAAAGTAATAAATCAGACCCAGGACGTGTAGGAAAGCCCACTCTGGATTCTGGAAGCCCCAGGAGGCTGGCCTTTGCTGCAGTAGGTCTATGGCATCAGGGGCCTGGAAGAGGTTAGGGGCCAAGGATTCTCAAAGCAGAACAAAATAGAGTGCAGCTGGAAGCCCTCCTAAGCAGTATCCTGTGTGGCAGGGCTGGGGGCTCCTGGGCCAAGCAGGACTCAGCATGGATGTGTGGGGTTTGTGTTCTGTGTGAATCATGCCGGTTGGAAGGATTTTTATCCTCTTTACTCTTAATCAGAATAGATTTTAAGAATTGAAAGTTCTTCTTTCATGGAATTAGGGCTTTGGCTCAGTGGCAGAGCACTTACCTACCATGCATAAAGCCCTGGACTCCATCCCCAGCAATACACACGCGCACACGCGCACACACAATTTCCTTGTGCCTGTGGAGTTCATTCCAGTCCTGCTTGGCTTCAACCCTATGTCAGCATGATATGGGCCAATATTTGCTTTAAAGAATTAAACCCGGGTCGGCCATATAGCTCAGCAGATTCAAGCGACTGCTTAGGCACATGCAGGGATCGGAGGGTCAATCCTGGCCTGCCATGCCGGCCCCGCCCCCAGGGTGCACTGAGAAACTGGGCATGGCGCCACGCGCCTGTAATCTTAGCACTTGGGAAGCTGAAAACAGGAGGATAACTACGACTCTGATCTGTATAGTGAGACCCTGTAGACTGTGTAGAACCTGCACTAAATTAACAAAAAAAAAAAACAAAACACAAATCAAAAAAAGAATGAAACCCACTTGAGTAATCTGGGCAGGGGTAATACAAAGTGTCCTTTTTTGCCAACTCCTAGTGACCCAGTGGCAGTGCTTTAAGAGGATGGGAGGATGAATGAAGCCTGCCAAGGGGCTGCTGGGGTGTCCAGGCAGCTGCGTGCAGGGAGCCGGAGGACTCCAGGGGCCTGAAGAGATTTGTGGGGCGGCCTGGGTGGAGGGAAGAGGGGAAAGCATAGGGGTAGCTGGAAAGAAGGGCATGTGCTTGGAAGAGTCCTGTCCAGATGCACTCGGGCTCCCCGCAGCTGTCCCCAGCCCTGCTTGGTCTCCTGTCCCCCTCCCAGTCTCCACCCCAGATGCGAGGCGGGACTGGGAGGGACACGATTTTCTCATCTTTCTTCCAGGAGCGGCAGCTGATGAAGACCCTCCCTCACCTTCTCAATGTCAACGAGGACCCGCAGCTCTCCGGGGTCCTCAAGTATTTCATTCATGCCGGTATTCACCCTTCCCCTGTCCTGGGTCTGCAGCACTACCTCTGGCCCAGAGTACCTCTGGCCTAGAGTCAGGTTTTTTCTGCTCACCCACCTCCTTTACCTTTTTTTTTTGGTTGTTGTGGTGGTGGTGGTACCAGAGATTGAAGTGAGGACCCTGTGCTTGCCAGGCAAGCGCCTATTCAACTGAACTATCGCTCCAGCCCTCTTTTCCCTTCTTTTCTGACTTTTAACACCAGACTTGGTGGCACACACCTGTAATCCTAGTACTTGGGATGCTAAGGCAGGAGGATTGCTGTGAATTTGAGGCCAGCCTGGGCTACAGAGTGAGTTCAAGACCAGCCTGACTCACACAGTGAGACCCTTCTCAATAAAACAAAACAAAAAAAAACAAAACAAAACAAAACAAAACCAACAACCCAAGACACAATACGTAAAACAAAATTCACTAAAATGCTTAAAGCAATTTAAGACTGTCCTGGACTGGGCTTTGCACACCTTCTCCCTCCTGCATGACATCACCAGCATCTGTCTCCAGAACTCTATTACCCTCTCAGACTGAGCCCGCTGTGACTCCCTACTCTCCCGACCCCTGGAAGCCACCATTCAAGTTTCTGTGCCTGTGAATCTGACTATTCCAGATAACTTCTATAAACAGAATCATACAGTATTTATCCTATGAAGACTGGTTTTAACTTTACCTACGTTGTAGAAACCATGAAAATGTCCCTTTAAAAGACTAATAATGTTCCATTGTATGCAGATGCCATATTTTATCTGTTATTTGGGCATGGTTCTTTTTCCATTAAAATATTTTACATTTTTCATATGAAAAAGTAAGATATACTTGTTTTAATTAACGCAGCCATGCAAACATGTATATAACTAGTCATTGATAACTTATTTCCTGAAAGGTTAGCCACACTTAGCTTGGTATGTACGCCTGG